GGCGGCTACGGCTACGGCGGAGGATGGGGACGCTAAAGTTACCGATAACCGACATTGATGCGTTTTCAAATATCTCGATTACATTCGATTTATCTTAATTGTGATTGATCTGTGATGTAAATTTATCGCCTCGATGAACTAACCATACATAATTATTGTCAAGATTATCATGTTCAAATTAGTTCATAACACATAAAAATTTTATTATATAAGAGTATGTATTCATTATTGAATGAAAATATAAACATATTTACATAAATTTTTACTGTTTTCTTATACGCTATTAATTATAAGTTCCTTGTAAATCGCAGTTGGTTTTAAAAATTCTGTAATAATCTTTATAAAATCTAGCAAAACATTTTGTACACTAAAACAATCGTGTTTCGATTGTTTTTTTACTCCAAAATTAATTACCACAAGAAGCGCACAATCTTTGTATAGTTTAATGACCCCAGGGAAAAGAATTTATAAACGTCATTATAATAAATAAATATTTGCATAAAATATTAAAAGTTGACAAAGTTCACTCACCTAACAATTTCCGGTTTTAACGGAGCTCAGTTTAAAATACGGTATTTAATTTTAGTATTAATTGTTTTATTTAAATGCTTTGAACAAAAGGATAACGTAATTGTGCACTTTGAAAAATTGAATTATTTTGATAGCATTTCCACGACTGAAAATCGAATCCGAATTTATATATAACAACGAAACAACATCATCACGCCTAAAATCTAAAGGGGTAGCTAGAAATTACCAGATCAAGCAGGCAAGCAGACTTGGCGGAAATTTATATAGAAAATAACTTTGTGAGAAATGAAAATACCCGCTAGTTTATAAAGAGTTCCTACATAAATTGATGTATAATTATTTTTAATTTAGAGGCAGTCAATGTTCAATTAACTTCAAGTTCAAATATTTACACCTTGTGGGAAACCCAATGTCAATCGTACTGGTCAGTTACTAAATATTTGCTAAGAATTACTCATTTTATTTCTTAACAAACTATTTTATTGACCAATTCACATACATTTGTATTTCAAATTTTGTTTTTGTCTACAGTGAATCATATACTGGTACATTTTTGAAAAAAACATATTTAAAATATGCATGTCATGCTTCATATTAACTAACGTTAGAGTTATCACTAAGGGACTACTTAAGTAACCACTAAAGTTAGGACTATACTTAGTTACAACTGTCGTACTTCGTGTAGTGTGAAGGTGGCTTAAAATGATTCTGTTCTCAGAAGTAAAAGTTCATAATACTATAATTAATTCAATTAAGCCTTCACTTGTCATTTAAAAGACAAATATATAATTCCTGGGCACATTTTACGAACCTTAAAGAACCTCTTCATACCCGTTCTTAACTAAGCAATGTTTATTCCATCCATGTCTTTTTCGGCTGGTTCAAGGTCTTAACAAAAAAGTTAATTGTGCAAAACCACCATCGACTCCCAAGCCTGATCCCACTCATGTGAGTTTGGCACGTGATTTCATAACCTATTTTTTTATAATCATTATTGTTGGAAGATTCGGGATGGCAAATTGCTATTAAGTAACTTTGAATCTACAATCACCGTCCAAGTAAACAATATCTAAAACGTGTTTTTCCTTGTTTTATTTTAATTAGCATAACAATGAACTGTAAGTGACTCATTTATTCAATAAAATACTTCGCAATACAAATAAAGCAAATAATTAAACTTATAGTTATCTATGTACAAAATGTATTTAAGACGAGCTGATCGCCCGTAAACTTCGTTAGCGCAAATTTGGACCACCCGTTACGCCATTTTCACAGCGCGGAGTTTGAAAAAAGTTTAATGTGCCCGTCTGTATCAGCTACCCTTCAGTGAAATTCTCGTCGAAATCGGCTCAGCCATTTCAGAGATTACCCGGAACAAACGCGGCTTGCGGACCGACAGACAGACACAAAAAAATGGGATTTTCGGAATCAGCAACGCAAATACATCATCTTCCCGATATCTGGAATTTTTCTTTTGATATTACAAACAGACACTTCAATTTTATTACATGTATAGATATAGATTACACACTAGTGCATTAGTTTTAAGATCTTTTTAAACAATATTGGAAGACCTTCCAATTTTAAGGCTATGCAATTAACAATTCTGATCATTGTGTTCTGTCGCTTACAAAGAGTACAGAAACACACATATTGGCAAAGTCATTCTTAGAGGCATATAAAAACATATCCACATTCTCAAGAGTTTATGGAAAATCCTATGGCATTGGGAAGTCCCCGGTCTATCTAATCAAACCTTCGAGACATCTTCATTGACGATGAATCAGTGTTTGTGTTATGACACAATATGGAGTTATTGTCATTAGTACATATTTTCAATGACACTTTAAGACAAATAATAGCTCAGTAGTGTCATAATTAACGATGTTAATAATGTGCTACATGTTACCTATCCATGCTTCAACCTAAGTTTTAAATAACGATTATTTTTAACAATTTTTAAATTAATCATATATTAGTAAGTTTTTTAATATTGTTATCTAATATATATATGCTATTGACGTTATTTCCAAATAAGTAAATTGACGAATTACCAAAAACTGAACAATACTATAGATTTTTAGGATAAAACTGTAATATTTACTTTAATACCTATGTTAAAATACTGCCATTAAATCATTGAATACAGTTATTCATTATAACTAAAAAACAATAAGCCATTGTCTTCTGTTAATTATAATTAACTTTACTTTTTGTTATTATTTGAAAACAATATAAAATAAGTAAGACACAAGACCTTGACCTTTATAACCTTTAAACGAGAAAAGCTTTCTTCGTCCTTCACAAGATGGCCCTTCACTTTTACAACCTTGTCAGACCTTGAAGTTACATCATAAAGCGAAGTTTAGGAGAAAGCCTTTCCCATACTCCTTCTAATATTGTTCCGACTATCGCCTTATTAACAGTGAATTTGGTGTATTATAAAGATTCCAGTGAAGTGTAAAGTGTGTGGAAAATATACATAATGTTTGTAAGTTAAGAATTAATAGTTTATTGCTTTTACCGTTATAATACAAACAAAATTACTGTTTTCTTTATTGATAATTTAGAATATACTATTCGTAGTATTTTATTATCTGCAAAGATTTATTTACTTTTCTGACATCGCGATTTTAACATTCGGTTATCAATCGAGTAAATACGATGACTAACTGTAAAGTTGTAGTTTCTTGTACCCAAAATATAATTAACACTACAAACCGAACCCTTGTGTGATTTATGGCAATGATAGAATTGTTTAGTACTAATTTTCAAATATGCTCGTTGATGTCTTTTCGTTAAGAATCATTTTCGTTTTTAACTTCGTATGTAGATTGAATATTATGTAGAATTATTGCATGTTAATAATAAATTACCTATTACATTATTAAATAAGTTACGGTATATTTAATGCAAAGCTCATTATTTATGTTTCATAAATAACAATAAAATAAATGAACGTAGGTGCTATCTATTAACCTTTACATTATTATCATAGTCCAACATTAGTCCACGCCTGAACTTGAACCTTTTAAATAGTTTTTAAATATTCTTTAATATATTCTGAAACTCAACATGAAACGAACATCATCATCCACATGCCCTTATCCCTTACGGAGGGTCGGCACAGTATGTACTGCTCTTCCATACATCTCTATCAGCTGTCATATCTGAATCCACTTCTTTCTTAAGCATATCCTCTTTCACTCAATCCATCCATACTTTCTTCGGTCTTCCTCTTCCTTTGTAGCCCTCCACATTTATACTTAACACTTTCTGGTTTATGTCCCCATCGTCTCGTCAAACGAACATGAAACGAACATGGGGTTTGAATCCAGATACAAAAATTAATTAAATACTTGTCGAAAAACGTAAATACAGTCAGTTATAAGTAATTGCAATAAATAAAAACGTAGCTATATTTATGTGAAAAGGAGATGCAGAAATTATGTGTATACTTGTTAATTATCACTTTATTTTTCCAGTTTCTACTATTCTGGTACGCATTTAGTGTAATTTATATATCGGAATGCGCAGTATTAGACCCAGCTTTATATCTTCAACCCAGTCCACCCATAAGGCAAGCAGATGAATATTTGTGGTCTCAACCTACGGAAACAACTGATATTATACCCATCAACGTATTAGGTAAATAATTATGTGTTTATTTAAATTAGCAAAAGACCAATTTTAGTAAATAAATCATGTAATTATCATCGGAATTAAATAATTATAAAAAGAATATTTTTCGAGTAAGGCTTGCATTTTTGCATCGTATAAAAAAACAATAATTTATATTTACAGCACCTATAGATAGAGAAGAAAGTATACCAAAAGGGAGGACATTTTGGCCGAAGTTACGCACCGACTATAGATTGGGTAGCATTCATATTCCCCTAACATTCAGTGTAAGTGGTACGTATGGTAACTATGGGGACAGCGGTAGTGTAGTTGGAACTAGCTATGCGAGTGTATCTGGACTTGGGAATGCTAAAGCAATTGAAAGTAAACCAACACTAGCTGGTACAGGATACGACAATTACAATTCTAGCCCAACTGTAGTACGGATATATGGAAGTAGTAATAAACCAGCCTGGAGCGGTTGGGGTAACGGGAAATGGGGACACTATGGTAAAGGATAAGGTGTAATACTCAACAAAATAATTTTAAACACATGTATTTCTATCCAATGCGAAAATTGATTAAAGAGAATGTGCAATTCTATAGACCATAGTCCTATTTCATTAATTTACTTGTTTAGTGCCAATTGTCAGATAAGGTTATGTAAAATTGTAAAATAATTCTAATTTTATTTACTTATTTGTGAATAAATCGTACAAATATATTACAGGATTTACGACTTTTAGCTCGTGTGCAGTTTGTTTATTATGCCGAAAATATTTCCTATTTGGTTTAACAAATGTTGTTAAATGTATTATTTAGAGTAAGATTTTAAATTAATGGATTATATTGATATATTGTATTGTAATTTACACATATAACTTTATTCTATCCGCATAATAAATTCATATGCTAAAAGACACAAAAATGCAATTTTACTGCGATACTGTGGTAAATATTAAAAAAAACTTTAAAATTTATTGGTAATTTTTTTATTTTAAAATATGTAAATTGGATATTAAATTGAATCTTCGAATATAATGGAATAAAAATTAATAAAAAACATTAATGATCATTTTATATCTCTAATTGTAAGTACTTCATAAAATTTATGTATTTTTATTTAATAGTTATAAATCTCATAAACTTTTAAGGTGCAATAAAGCCTGTCAAATAAGAATAATTGCGTGATATCATTTGACAAGTGACGCTGATGAGCACGTACTAGTAATATAACTAATAACAAGAACAATTTAAATTACATTATCCTTATGAAAACAACAATTACAATATGAATCAAGGTTGATAAATAATCATGGAGCCAACAGCACATCATGACACCCTTAGAACTAAGCAATTATATGGTCACTACTTACTGCTCATCATCATATAAATTGTTTTCAAAAGGCCGCCCACTATAATAAATCGTTTTGCTTTCCGCGTCTTTTATTAAATACTTATACTGAGAAATAATCATCTGTAACTCATAATTATATCCAACTCATGTAGAAACATGTCATTTGTAAATTATTAAGAAATTCTATAGACATATGGTAATTCAATCTCATACATTCAACCCAAGTTGTAGGTCAAACTTAGCTCCAAATATCTCTACCATATGAAGTAGAATATAAAAATACCCGAAGCACAAAACGTGTGGCATATCATATAGATTATTACGATAATCCTCTTGTACCTATAAGTTATATAAAAAATATTCGTGTGGCATCTCCCTTTGGATGGTAATTTTTAACTCGGGAAAATTGTCTGTAATTACTGTTAGTAACATGACAGGTATTCGAATAAAGAATCAGAGCTGAACAGGATGTACTACTGTCTGCCAATCAAATGTCGTACACAACGATCTCATTTCCTGTGCATAATCATTTATATTCACTGCAATATCACTCACCTTATACACGCGGCCATGCTCCGTATAGCAGTTATCATATTACCAGCTTTAGTTATATGTTCCAACAAAGGGAACATACATCTACTTGAAGAAGAAATTGCCGAAGCGATAAGGGCTTGTACACACAATGACAGCGAGCAAATTGTTAAACGATATAATCGTTCTAATAGGAACATGTCAAATCATTACCAATATCCCCATATCGATAATAAAAAGAATTCTAATCCCTACCATCATGAGAGACGTAACACAAGTGATATGATGACACCAAACAATGTCACCTCTATATCAGACAACGATTTATTCGGATTTGCCAACGAATACGAAAACCAGAATAACACCGGGAGAACTAATTTTGGTAATAACAACAATAACAATAATACTTTTAAAAGAAGGAATAAAAGAGATGAATATCAACTGAACAAGAATGAAGACGATCAGGTAAACTTACATCGCTATTCTATTTTGGACAAAAAGTTCCAGTAATTAAAACGCCTATTTAAAGTTATCGGCAAAAATTGCTCCTACTATACACAACCTTATTCTGATAAGGTCTTATATTTTCTCAAATCCATAAATAGTTTGATAAACAACTCCCTTGGTTTATTCCCGTATATAAGCAAAGTATTTTTAATGAATTTTAGATAATTTCTGTACTAATATTTACATTTATTTTCCAGTGTCTCAATCAATGTGTGTTCGCTAATTTACAAGTGGTAAGTTATTGTCGTAATCCCCAGTCTCCACTACCGAAACTTTACAACAGAATTGAAAAAAATTAGTTTTATATTGCTACAATTTGTTAGATTTCGTTTACATTTTTGATTTTGTCAGTTGCAAAATACACTTGTGTGTGAAAGCAAAAAAACATGTTTCAGAACAGATGTTACCTACTGCCATGAAAACTTACTTTTAGATAAACAATAGAGAACGTAAACCCTGCGAAAATTATCTAAATACATGGAATTTAAATGTAAAAAAATTTACTATCATTATTCCAATTAACAATTTGAAGTCCAAGTTATTACCTTGTTTCTATAAAGTGTACAAAACCTTCTTTCATTTTATATTTGTTCAACACAGGTTGACTCACGAGGCATTCCTCGTGAGACAGAACTTTGGAATAAGATCCAAGCAGACGTGACGTCACAGCATTCGCGCATCCTTCTACAGGACCAAATAAGATTGTGCTTTCAAGAACTACAAACTGGTAAAAATTCATACAAATAATGCACTTTAACTTTAACGACATATACATATGATTTATTAAAGAAAATTTCCATAATTCCAGAATCAGAAGACAATGGCTGTTCTTATTCAAATAAATTAGAGCGTTGCTTGATGCTACATGTCTCTGATCGGATGAAAGAAGCTGATAGAATGAAACAAACTTGACAATTCACTATTCGAATCAAACTAAAACAACTTGGATAACGGAAACTGGCAAACTGCATGTTTATTGATATTGTTTATGTAGATGTTATTATAGTACTATTTATCCTCATATTTAATTTACATAAATAAAAAAATATTTTACCTTGTAGTACATATTTGCTAGTATTTCAAATTACTTTCTTATTAGTTGATACCTGACTAAATACTATATCCAAACTATGTACTATATACTATGTACTATGTACTATATACACTATGTACTATATACAAATATAAACAATAATAATGCCAGGAAATGAAACTTTATTACACATCCATGACTTACAGATTCAACCAATGTTTATATAGAAACATAATATTTTCTGACATGTCATACAGACAATATGTTCACATTATCTGTTAAACTTTATAAATAGAGAACAACTGGATATCCCGGATAAGAGAATGGTTGAGGATGAAACACAATAGGGTCGTCTAGACTTCTATTTGCCAGCTCATGTGGTAAAATTTGTCTTGGTAAATGTATACTAAGTGATATTGCACTCTGAAATGTATGAATAAAATTTTGTAACACAACTTGCTATACTTAACATTACATTTGTTGGCTAATTTCAAACTTACATGTAAAAAAATATTTATAAAATAAAAAGAAAGAGGTAACTTAAAGTTACAATTAGCAATATTTTTCAATAGTTTTTTAAATAGCATTTTGTCGCAGAAATACTCAAAGAAACAAATTTCACACCAAAACACATTTATTGCCCAGCATTTTATGACACAATCATAATAAATAAAATAACAGTAAGGTTCCACTACTGAGGCACTAATATTTGCATATATTTTTGTTTCTGTTTTATCAATGGGAACAAAAAGGTTAGCAATATGTTAATAAATGTCACAAGAGTAGAAACCTACTGTTACAATCCAGCGTAGCTACCACTCAATGTACAGCGGGAGCTAGAATAGAAAGTGTTAATGTATTTAATGGTAAAGGTGGCCGGCCAGTACACACTCTTGGCTGGGCTTGGATGTGCTTCAACCACCTGCAGACATTCATAAATGATTCTTGTTCTATAACACTTAGACGCTCCTGAAATCAATGAAGAAATTTCTGATTGATGAACATATGATTGTCTTTATGGTTATTTAATTAACACCTTTTGAAAGGTATTCTAATTACTATAATGCATATTTTATGTAAGCAATATTATTGACACATTGTATGACTAATTTTATAGAGACTCCATCTGCATGAAATTTAAAAATAGTAAAAAAGAAGTGAAAAAATATAGCCTATGTTACTCACAGATAAATTACCCATCTAACAATGGAAGAATTTTAAAATCGGCCCAGGATTTTTTTAAATAAAACAAATAAAATGCAATATGACTCACAATTAAAGGATAAAAGACATGATAAGCGGCAACATCTGTTACTGTTAAAAACTGTCCAGTTAAATATGTATTTTTTGCTAGAGCTCTATTAATGCCCTGAAAATAACACAAAATGTTGATGAAATAAATAATTAAGTAAATGAATTAAACATGTTACTACCTACAAAACTCTGTTCAGTTTACAAAATATTGCAGAAAAATATGTTGAAGCAATCCTCTTGAAACTATGGAAATGTAAAAAATAAAATTATCTGTGTATATAACATTATGGTCCACTACATTACCTGTAAAAAGTTTTTAGCAAATGTAGGATTAGAAAGTGCTTGGTTGCCATACATTGCTATGTGTTCCAGCCACTGATAACTAAGAAGTACTTGCTCTTCGCTCATACTAGTACCACTTTTTGAAGCCAGTCTTAGAATAATACTTGCAAAACCTTCAACATTTTCTTTATCAAGAACTGTCGTCAACACCTATTGAATAAAGACCTAGTTAATCCTTTATGTACTAGATTCCAAATAAGGCTTTAAATAGAATACAAAAAGGAATAAACTGCAAATACTTTTATATTGAAGTTCTTTCCTTTCCTCAACAAGCATACAATTCCTTTCAAAACTATGTTTCTAAAATGTAACAACATTTTGGCCTATATCATTTAAACTCTTGTTCTGATACATTTTTAATAAATATTCATAAAATTAGTTAATGTTTTGTTACACACTTTGTCTGTATTATAGCAAACAGTTCCCACGGGAGTGTTCAGGTACTTTCCAACAGATTTTATTACATCCATTGTTTTTGTTCCTTATGTGGTTTGGATAATTCTTACTAATATGTATAGTTTTTCGCTTAAAATTCGAAATATCTTGACCAATGGAGATTGAAACATAACCTATGAAACTATCGGTCTTGCCTTGCAGTCAACTTGTCAATGTCATTGTCGTCGTCATGTCAACATATAAACAACAAATGACATTTAATATCAAAGAATAAGTTTATATATTGGAAAAGTGTTCAAAATAAATTACAATTTTATATCAAGAACACCCACTGATAATAACTTTTAATTTAGTGTGACAAAAAAGAAGCCCATAGGATTCGCGTGATAAAACAAATAATAAAAATAAGTTAAAACACATTTTGACCAACAAGTCCACAAACAGATAATTACTTCGGTATCGGTACCTCATTGTTAAATTATATTTCTTATCAGAATGATGAGTAGTACAAACATTAAAGATGACCTTTACTCTTATTTATATCGCAATATTATCTCTTATGTATATTTAATTAAATACTTAATAATTAAAATCGTTTTGTAAATTAAACATTATTTGATTTATTTGACAGTAACAAACTGACAAGAAACCAGCGATAGAGATAGCACAAAAACCAAATTCAATTCTTTGTCATCTTAATATTTATCTGTCAAATGAGTATTTTAAATGGAAAAATAAGATATTTAATTTGCATAAACCAAGTAATTAAGTGTTACACAGTGAACAACCAAAGTTATAGTAAAAAAGATCACTACAGTTTTTATCAAACTAGCACTTAAACCATTCAAGTGGTGTTGTTTTTCAATCTACAAATGTATTATTACAGTATTGTTTTTTATTCAAATTTTAGATTTCTTTACATTGTTGCTTAAAATAATGAAACCATACAGTACGTGACGACACATTTCTGTTCTTTTTTTCGCTAAACAACAATAAAACTCTTCTTAAATGTTAACTTTATGTCACAACTATTTTCAAGTAACTCCTAATTCTAAGAACAATAAAGATGTTGTCCAGCATCAGAGTAAAAAGAAGTTTGTGTTTGGTGTTTTTATTTTATTCTTAGTTTCTGTTTTATGGGTGGTTTCTTCAGAATTCACAAAGGTAAACAGCAGAGTGTACAAAATTTGTAATTGTTGAACTATGAATAATAAATTTTGACTTTTGTTGCAGTATCTGTACATTGAGAAGAAAATTGAAAGGCCCTTTCTAGTCTCATATATCCGTTGTTCGCTATTATTCATCTATCTGATTGTATTATGCTTCTCTCCACCTACAAGAGACCCATGTCGACCAGCGGACTACACAGTAACTATACCATTCTATCAATTACATAGTGTTTTAATTCGAATCCATTGACAAGATAAGGTTTTTCATACATGTTTTACTCATTTGATGGTTAATATTTCCTTTAGGGTGACAGGGCAAATCATTTGGGATTTTTTTTTAATTAATATGCTTTACCACAGATTAAATTTATTTGAACAATCAGATCTTGGTATGTTGTAACCAATGTTTAATTTTGATATAATTTATTTTCAGCAATTACTGGAGCCCACAGCTGAAACAGATGATGAAAATTATTACAATGAAGCTACAAGTAGTTTGGTGAGTATTAAATAATAAATAGCATTTCTATTGTAATTCTAGAATATGACTAATATTATAAATGTGAAAGTTTAGATGGATGGATGGATGTTTGTTAGAGTTTGAAGCCTAAACCATTAAACGGATCTTAATGAAATTTTGCATAGATGTAGAGCATAGTCTGGAAGTACACTATTGTTTTTTTTCCATGCAGATGGAGTGATAAGTGAAAGCTAGTAGTTTGTTTTTTTCAAATTAATTATTTAAATGTTTAGTGTCCAATTATCTCTCCGAGACTGGAATTTTAAGATAAATGTACAGTTTCGATAATGACTTGATTTGTTTATTTAAAAGATAAAACTCATGTTTATATCTAAGCCTCTTATGCACATGAATTGAGTAAAGCAAAAAAAAACTTTGATTAGGCAAAAATAAGCATTAAATCACCATTTACTAAGATTACCATATGCACACAAATCACAAAAACAACTCTTACTTCCATTCATGAATAAGCCTATAGTCAATGAAAATGAAGTTTTTAAAGGCAAAAGAATTTTTTAAATCACCGCAGTAGTATTAGAGTTTATTTGTTATATACATAAATATAATTCTTTCCGCTTTATAAAATTATTATAAAATGTTAATTAAAAAGGAAAAATGACATTAAGAGAAAAAAAGGCTGAAGAAAGTGAAATGCTTTTTTTGTTATATAAATGATTATAATTTCAGTTCTCTAGCACAGTTACATTTTACAGGGAGACTCTACCTTTGTGCCGGTCAGAGCTGGTGAAACCACAGATAGTGATGATGCAGCCCCCAGAGCAGTGCGATTCAACAAAGTTGCAGAGGTTATTTTATCATACCAATATTATAAATGTGAAAGTTTAGATGGATGTTTGTTAGAGTTTGTTGGGTTGTGGTGTGCAGGTGCGCGTGATGTCTGCGGCGATGGCGGGCGAGGCGCTGCTGGCGCGGCTGTCGTGGTCGGCGTCGCTGCGCGCCTCCGAGCACGCGCAGCGCCGCGCCGCCGCCGCCGCCACCAAGCGACACATACGCCTCGCACTGCTCTTCTCTATCCCCGTTTGTATACATTACTATCATATATTAACAGTGGTAGAGCCCGCTTTAACATCTTCGCACGAATGGGCCGGCTCGCCCGGTGTAATACCACGACCACACAGAAAACAGGCGTGAAGTGGAAGCAATTCCGCGTTTCGTCTGATGAGTGTGGTGACGGAGGCCTAATTTTAGTTCCTTTCCTTTTCCACCCTTTTCTTAAGAGGAAAGGATGGGGAGGAGAAGTGGATTTGATGGTGGAGGCGACGCATAGGAAGGGAAAATGTCCTCTTTATGTGCGTCTCCTCCTCCGTCAATCAAGGGTGAGCAACGCATCTGCAATTGCGGATGTTTATGGGCAGCGGTCGCTTCGCCATTTCGGTGGATTCAGGTGGCCGCTTGCTCGTTTGCCACCTTATGTTATAAAAAAAAATACTAGTCATATATTACTGAGTATAAGCAAATATTAATACAAATTTTACTTATACTCAGTTTATTCCTAAATTTAGCTTTATACCGCGTTTATTTGTAAGGCTGTATGTATATAACAGTATTTTTGAAAAGGTAATATATAAGTATACATAATTTAAGGGTGGGTTATAAATATTAGTAGAGGTGATTACGGAATATTTTTTTTTAGTTCAGAGAGAGACAGAGATGTAAGATTTAAGTTTTTAAACCTTCGACCTACGGAAATGTTTTTTTCAGAAAAAAAGCAAACTTGGTCATTTTGGACATGTTTATTATTTTGAATACATTTTATTTGAAAACTTTTTATCTGCAATTAAGAATAGTTGTAGCGTTTAAATTACTGTACTAAATAAAATGAAATATGAATATTACAAGATCGTTCACTTTCTTACGGAAAAAAATGAAGAGGGACCTGACAGTGTATTTTTTCTACCAATATCAATACAACCACTTGCTAGAATACAGCGCTTAAAACAAGATATAGCGTATCCAGAAAGTGTTATATCTTGTGTGTTGATGTATAAAATTGTATTACAGTGGTTCATATCGAACTACCTGTACCGGGTGAGCTTGGCGCACACGTCGGCGAGCTCGGCCAGCACGTACACGGCGGCGGCGAGCGCGCTGGCGCTGGCGCTGGGCGCGCTGCCGCCGCCGCTGCCCGCACACCGCCTCGACCTCTCCAAGGCCCTCGCGGTCCTCTGCACTGCCGCCGGACTCGTGAGTCGACTAACTTCTTTATATCTATTTATTTACTAGCTTTCGCCCGCGACGCCGTCCGCGTGGTATTGGAAAAAACGAAAGTGAATAGTATAATATTCTACTTCTATGCCAAATTTCATCGAAATCCGTTCAGCCGTTTAGGCTACAAACTCAAATAAACATCCTTCCATCTAAACTTTCACATTTATAATATTAGTAAGATAAGGTATACCAATTGTTTAAAATTCACAACTAAATTAAATATACTATAGACAAAGATCGTGGTCAAGCACTATTTATACTATATAAAAAATATAAAAACTTTATTTTATTGTTTGCTAGCGGAAATGACGTTTGTGCCAATTCTATAACAGTATTTACATGAATACGTGGGTAGAAACACTTGTGTCAGTGCAATGTAGTCCATGTTGCGTGTACTGCAGGTGGTGCTGGGGTGGTCGGAGAGCCAGTCGGGCAGCTGGGCCGGCAGCGGCGCGGGCGCGGCCTCCGCGCTGGCCGCCGCGCTCTGCTACGCCGTGCACCTCCTCCTCTTCCGACACCACCTGAGGAAAGGGGACGGCATCAACTCTGTGCTGCTCATAGGTGATTACAACAGATTTACATAATTAGTTTCTACTAATTTAAGACACTAAATTTAAATATGTTTTAAATGATAAGACCAGGCTTAACCCTTAAATGTATGATGCATTTATACATCAGTCTTTTCTTCCTTACCAAAAACCATTTTTTTTTTCTCTAAATCTATGTTTAATTTACTACCCCTTTCAGTTTACGGCATTTAAAAAGAAAAAGTCGTGCATATAAGGGTTAAACTACTAATTCTATTGAATTTACAGTCTGTCAGTGTGTAAATGTAAGTTTTTTGTTTTATCTTAGGGATTATCAGAATAAATACAATTGTAAATAGATAATAAATAAATAATATGTCTAGTT